TTTTTTACCTAACAAACGAGGTTAGGATGCTCAGAAATCCAGAATTTCTACTCAAATCCTCTAAATACTTAAACGCAAGCAAAGTTCAAGTAGACTCGTTTAAAAGAGGACTACAATGTAGGCTTAAGTGTTAATGGCACTGAGGACTCAAGCTGATGTTGAGAAGGAAAAAAAATGTAAGTGAGAAGAAGAAATATGTCTACACAGTGCACGGCAGGCAAGAACTTTCATGACAAGTTTAACTAAAACAAAGGAACACTTTTAAAGGCTTTAAAATTAAGTTTCACAGTAATAGACAAACCCTTCACTAAACTACATTAGCACATGCCACTACAGTGAGATTCTTTTATTATATATTTACATGCACCTCAAAACTCCTACAATCATTTTTGTGAAAAGACCATGCTTTATTTACAGTACCTGAATATTTCTGTACCTGTCACGCTGCATGTTAATGAAAGAACAAGACAGGGAACATTAGGTTACTTTCATGTCCTTTCTAAAGGTATAAGTTCTATTTATTTTTACATACAACATTACATGCAGTTTCACTTTGGCAGAACTAACAAAAGCACTTTGCCAAGTCAAATAAAAAGGTTTCACTGTACTGAAAGAAAAGGTTAAACAATTAATGAGTAACATTTCTCTTCTTTCCTATGCACCCCCTCTGAAACTCCCAAAACACAGGTGCTGATAAAGAGGTTTGAAAGGAGAAGATTTTACTAATACTTGTTATCTTGAATCAACTCAATTAAAAGGAGTTACACACTACTAACAATGCTCTAGGAAGACAATTGCATATGCTCTGTACAGTTTCCAGTAAGAATTCCCTCCTAGCACCTCCCTTATAACCATATGAAAGCACACAGTCAAACACAACATGCACACCAAAAAATTCAGCTTGGGCTTTCTGTGAATTAAAGATGAAAAAAGCCTGGCAGACAACCTACAGTAAGGGTGCCACACCAATACACAAGCTGAGGCCACAGCAGCACCCCTAGTTGAGCTAGTTGAAGTTTGCCTGTTCCCAGGTGTCACTGACATCACTGGAAGCCGGCTGTATCTAAGGAATTGCATAGCCTGGCCTCTCAACTTTAAATCAAGTGCAAGGGCTTAACTGAAATACTGCCCAGGTTAATGAAATAAATTACTTACACTAGTATACACATACAGAGAAAGTACTTACATCGCTTCTGCGAAACTGCCTGTAAACAAGCCGTGACGATATCACAGTTCTTCTGGACTTGATGTACAAGCCTGTCTTTCTGCTTCAGAAGACAAAGCAGCCTTGCCGACTGAACAGAAATTCTGTAGTTCAGTTCTCGTTTTATAGTTGTTAATTCGTCAACATCTGCCAATAAGCAGAGAAAATAACTTCAGTTACAGGCCAAAATATTAACTTTCCTGTAGTTGGCATGCAAAGGGACTTGTTCCATGGACATTTACTTACACAAACTTGCTACAGACTACAATAATTCCAAACTAAACATATTTTACAGATCTGAGCCAAAGTCTTTAATTTTAAACTACAGCACCTTAACTGGCAGCACAGTGTATGAATCTTAATAATTATACTGTTATAAATTAGAAACACTGTGACAGATGTAGCCATAATATACCTACAGCAGTGCCACCAGGGGGTAAGCTTTAAATACAGTACCTTCCAGAAGGTGCCTGGGGAAAATATACATGGGGAACAAGCAAATAGTAACGGACAAGGGAAGGCGCTCAAGAAGGTGCCCGAAAAGCTAGAAATGTAACTGCAGGATGAACTCCAAGTGGGAAACTCCACTAAAATGCAAACCAAGTGGTGTCAGTTACGGCCTCAACTATTTCCCCAGTCAGTCACTCTGCCACCACACTCCCTTAGTTCACAGACATGTCTGGGCTCACTTCTAATATTCCTGCTGTCCCCATGTCGTGAGCTGCAGGTCCAGGACAAAACAGAGTTGCTGGGGAAATGTCTTAAGTCCATTATTTTTTTTAAGTCCTCAGCTCTGTCTTCAAAGGGACCCCCCACCAGGAAAAGCTTGGGTCTTGCCTATCACATTCAGATCTCTTCAGCTCTTCTATGTAATAGCTGGGTGCATCTGAACAGCTGTCTGCTCCCTGTGGCTAAGCATTCAAATCCTATCACTTTCAATCCAACCATGCCCCTCCTGATGCTGGAAGAATAATCAATAAAAAAATCCATACTTTGGTAATCTCATCCAATAAGAAAAATATTTATGCACCCAGAAAAAATACTATTAGTGGGATAGTAAACAGTTCCGCTTGTACAGCAAAACCCCTTTAATAAATCTGGAAAGCTTAAAGAAAAGGACAAATCAGGCTCAATCAATCATGGAATAGCGAAGAACAAGGCATGACTGCAAGGCAAAACAGTCCTGTACTTCATAGGCACTACCCTGTTTCAGCACCTGCTGCTCAGATAGAACTCCCAATCACACTGGGCAAAGGTGATTTAAAACCACATCCATAGATTTTGAGAGGGAAAAAAATATCAAGTTTTATTCCAACTGACTTGTAGGAAATAGTGAGCTGAATTTTGTTCTTTCGCTCTCCTGTTATTGAGCTGTCCCTGTAAAAACAATTAACTGTGGCAAATTACAAAATATGATCCCTGAACAAGCAAATTTCCTGTGGCGTCCCAGATTGTCACAGGACACGATGAACAACTCGAGCTACATCCTGCAATATCAGATGGCGTATCACCTCCACTGAGAAGCCAAACACGGAAGCAGAAAGTTGTTGTACAAGTCTTTATTCACCTCTTGCCTTTTTCTTTCCCCCTAATCAAAACCAAGAAAGATTTAACACCAGGAGAAAAGAGGCCTTTGTGCAGCTCTCCTCATCAGATCGACTTGGGATTGCAAGATCATTCTTTCACAAACGTGTGGTGTTGTGACTACTTTGCTTTCATAAGAATTCTTTGATGAATTCTTTTCATTTAGATTTTAGTCAGCTGACTATTGCATCTACATGGTTTTATTACACTTATTTTTCTTTCCTGGAAGCCACACCTATAAATAACATTTACAGGTATTGTAAACGTATAAATGTTTTACAATTGCCAGGTTTAGTTTAGGTCTACAAGAAATAAAGGACTTGAAAAAGCAACTACCTCTTATGACAGAGGATGTGTGGAAGGAAAAGAAAAGGGAAAAGGAAACTGGCCATTGACTCATTACTGTGAGTAACAGCACTGAACTTACAGAAGCACAAACGACATACAATGACACAGAAACTCCATTCTTGGAGTGACTCCATTTTTGCTCCTGTGGCGGCTAAAATGAAGGAGGGAGGGCACAGCACACGAAGTCTTGGTTTGAAGGAGATACCAGCTAACTGTGCACTAGGAGACATTGCCATACATAAAGGCTACTATAACAAGTAAAGGAGGATACATACAGACAGACACACGTGTGCATAGACACGGAGGCAGGAAAGAGAGGACTATACCCAGGACTCGCTTGCAGGCAGAGGAAGGAAGCGGGGTAAGAGAGGCAGCTGTCAGCCCGGGCAGAGCGGGGGCAGGCTGTACCTTTCAGCCGCAGGTACTTGACCTGGCTCGGCCGCTGCTGCAGCTCCTGCAGGACGCTGGAGCGGACGCTGCCCGAAGAGGGTGCGGCCGCCTCGGCGGCGCTGTACAGCTCGGTGAGCAGTCCGCTCACCAGCGACGAGGTGCGGCTGGACCGACCGCTGCCAGCACCTTCCTCGTCCTCATCCTCCTCTTCCTCCTCGGCCAGGCTGTCAGCGCTGCTGCCCGCCCTGCCGCCCGGGCCGGACTCACCCGCCTCCATCTTCCGCAACCCCCACAGCGCGGCGCCACCGCCGGCAGCGCCGAGTTCCGGGTTCGGCTGGGCCCGTTCCACAGCGGGATGCGGGAGGGAGGGCGGGCGGCGGGAAGAGCGGGAGAGCCCCGGCCGACAGGACTCTCCCGTGCGGGCAAGAGCGCCGCTCTCAGCTCGACTCCCTCCCTGCGTACGGCGCAGTGTGGTAGCGGCCGGCGGCGGGCGCGGGAGGAGGTGTTGCACCTGCTGAGGGGCGGAGCGGGGCGGGCGGTGGTGCCTCTCCTCACGGCGGTGGGTCTGCACGCCGGTCGCCGCCGGGCACGGGCCTCGACGCGGCTGCCGCAAAGGCCACCCTAGTCCTGCCGGCTGTCCCGCTCTTGCTCCGTCGCCGGTGCGCGGGGCAGCCCCGAGTGGCGGCCTGGTTCTGTTAACGTAGCTTCAGTAACGTACGGCTGCAGTTGTGCGAAGTCACCGTAACACAACATGGGCGTCGGGACTGACGGTGGGGTTCGTACGGGTTGGCTGCCTGGGGGAGCTGTGTCTCCGCCACACCTTGCTGTGCCCCGCAGCCTGTGCGCGGCGCTGAGCCCACGGTAACGCCGCTCAGCTCCCTCCCCCGGCCTACCCCCCAACGCACCGCCCGCCAGCATCACGGCAGCACCGCTCCTGCTCCCGGCCTCACGGCGTCTGCAGAGCCCAGCGCTGCCCGCGCCCCCACCATGCCCCTTGTCTGCTTCTGCTTTCTGTTCCTCCTCAGCGCTGATGAAACATTTCCCTGCAAGCCGAGAATTGTCTGGGACACACGAAGGGCATGGCAGCCAGGCGGGGCCAGACCGCTGGGGCCAGCTCTGCGGCCTCGGCTAATTAAAGTCAGGAATTCTGCACTAAAACAGTGTTTTACAGCTAAGAACATCCCTCCCGGAGCAGCTGAGGGAGAGCGGAGAGAGGGACCGGGGACCCCCCCGCTTCCATGGCAACGGCTTCCCGGGGGGCGGGGCCACGCCGAAGGGGGCGGGGCCAGGAGGAGGCGGGGAGCAGGCGGGACTGGTCCCTGCCGCGGCCGCCTCCCGGGCCACGTGACACCGCCCCTCCATTCCCCCCCCCCCCCCCCGCCGCGCTCCCCGGTCATACGCCGGGGCGGGCCCGCGCTCTGCTGCTCGGGGCTCCGCTTTCGGTCCTGCCCGTGGCTCCGAGCGGCGCCGGCTCCTCCTGTTCCTCTGCTCGTGCGCCTCTGCTGCTGCGCCATGTCCCCTGCCGCGGCCGCCCAAGGGCTGGCTCTGGCTGCGCTGCTGATGCTGAGCCCGGCGGGGGCAGCGCGGCAGGTGCGGAGGCCCAACGTGGTGCTCATCCTCACCGACGACCAGGACGTCTGCCTGGGCGGAATGGTAACCCCGCGGCTCCCCGCCTTCCTCCGCCGGCCCGTCCTTGGGGGGGGTGCGGAGCTGGGCGTTGGGGCCGGTGGGCGCGTTGCGGGCGGCCTTGCCCTCGCTGAGGGGGTGCTCGCCCGCGGACGTTGCCCAGTCTCGCTGTGGGCTGGGGGTACCGTTAGGGCGTACAGAGGGCCTGGTGCGAGGAGCGGGTCGCTCCCGCCGCTGAGGAGGGGCGGCCTGGGCCCGGGGCGGGGGGGGGGATGAGCGGCGCAGCCCCGGCCCACCCCGCAGCCGGGGTCAGGGTCTCCGTCCGCAGCCTCAAGCCGAGTTTCCCCGGTAAGAGAGCGTCACGGTGGGCTTCCCTGGGAGAGCCAAGCGGCTCTGGGAAGCCGTAGAGGCTCGGGGTTCTCTGCAGCGGCAGGTAGTCCCGGTAACTCCCTGTGCCTCGGTGAGGGCTCAGTTGTGTAACTGCTTGGACCAGAGGAGGCCCCAGCAAGAAGGCACTGCATGGATTGCCTGGCCAGTGTCTGGAAACTGTGGTGGTGGGCCTTGCTTCGGGTACTTGTATGTCTGCCTCAGCTGCCCTACTTTACTTAGCATCCTTGCGTTTTTAGCTGATTTCCTTTTGGTCCCTTTCTTCCAGACCCCCCTAAAGAAGACTAATGCACTCATTGCACAGATGGGAATGACCTTCCTAAACGCAGTAAGTGCTTCTTGAACTTCTGAGGTGTGTGTGCATTTGTATAGTTTGTATCTTAGGTCATCTAAGGCCTCAAATCTGGTAACAGTTTTATGAAGCCTGTAAGTATGCCAGTGGGTTTTTTAAATTGAATTTCTAACTGCTTTAGGCCTCAAAATGAATATAGTTCAAGGTCGTGTTCAGAAACAGAGGGAGAGTTTCACTTCCTAAAAGTACTTTGTTGACTTCCTTAAGCTGTAAAGTAAAATTGCGTAGTCAGAGTATTTTTATTACTGCGAAGCATTAGAAGAAGCTACTTAACTTTAAGCTTCATGAATGCTGAAAACCCACTACACTCTTCATATTCTAATGTATTTTCGTGGCTAAAATAATGGAGCGCGTAAACTGGCAATCAGTATTTTAATGGGTACTTGCTACTGTATAAGAACCACATCTAATCGGGAGAGGGGGGTTGAAGGGCATATGCTGCAGAAACCTAAAAGCAGCTTCATGTGCAGTATTTCACTAGTGAAGATACTTGGGATGTCCAGAAAAATACTTGTGTGTCCAGAAAAAAATGTGCTTTAATGTTGGTGAACATTTTGATCAGCCTATTAGCTGTTATTTCAAAGCTAGAAATTTTGAGGGAAAAATTGTTTTACAATGTTAATCTTGTATTACTTCATCTTGTCTTTCCAGTACGTTCCCAGTGCACTCTGCTGTCCCAGTCGGGCTAGCATTTTAACAGGAAAATACCCACATAATCATCATGTTGTCAATAACACTCTGGAAGGAAACTGTAGCAGCAAGTTATGGCAGAAGATTCAGGAGCCATATACTTTCCCAGCTCTGCTCAAAACTATGTGTGGCTATCAAACGTTCTTTGCTGGAAAGTATTTGAATGAGGTATTTTTTTGTGCTTGCTTTTTTTTATACTGTGAGTCAGTTAATTTCTATTGTCTACCTTTAAAGCTTCATATGGTTTTTATATTTATAGCTGAATGCAGATCCCCAAAACATTTAAAGTGGTATAGTTGGATGAATAGCTCTCTTTGCTGAGGAGGCATAAATATGATGCAAAGTTCAAATCTTTAACTTAACTTGGTTAAAATCAGGTCCTGTAAGTGCCTGAATGTTTTTAAAAGTTGATTTTAAAAGGGTGATGGAATCTAGACTTTTTTTAATGTGTTCAGATGCTGAAACCTCTAAGATCAGGTATTCCTTTTGCGTGATGAAGTTGTATTTGGAGCTAGACGAGTTACAGGCTCTTTACAGTATTATTTTCCTTGCATCCCTTGCTGGAAAATGTTGGTGGTATAATACGATGGAACGTGAATATTTATAGCCAGACACAAATTTATTCCTGCTGATATTACTGAGGCAGTGAGGAAAAGGAAAACTTTCTCTGGCTTCCTCTGAGTATCCCTTGACTGTGTACTCTCCTGTCCCTGCAGTTAAGCAAGCTGTGTAGAAGGGAGAGAGCAGCCCTGAGGAAACCCATTGTGTTGCCCTGAGGCAGCCTCTGTCTTGAGTTTGGCATGGGTGTAGCAGCTACTTTCCCTTTTTTGGTGGCTTAAAAGCTAGTTGTTGCAGTTTATTTGGCACTGAGGTGGTAAGAGGCTTAAAGCTCCTTCCCCTCTTTTGGGGGAGGATGATGAAGCTGTCGGTCTATGCAAAACTTTCTTTAGTATCTTGTGAATTGTTATCACAAAGCCTTAGGGTCTTATCCATGTGTGTTTTTGATCACCTCTCATTGCCTGATGATGTACTCCAGGATTTCTGCATGTTTTAATGTGCGGAGTAGAACAGGAAATAAAATCTAAATTTTATTGGTGAATGCCAAGCTTTCAGTTACTGTCTCTATAGTTATTTAATCCTGGTTTCTTTAGCAGGCTACGTGCTTTTATATGCATATGTATTTTGTGTTTTTTTTTCCATTCTGAAACTGATTTCAGCTTAATGCGCTTTCTGACTAGTGTTGAATAAAGCACATGAATATGAAACATAATTTCTAGCTTTTATTCCTCATAATTGAAACTGTGAGTCATGGTCTGTTTCTTTTCAGTATGGAGCAGAGGATGCAGGGGGAGTAGGTCACGTCCCTCCTGGATGGAGTTTTTGGTATGCTTTGGTATGTGACTATTCTGTTGTTTTTAATACCTAATTTCGGTTGCTTTGTAATCCAACTCTTGCTTGAACTTTGCTGGTGATAAGAGAGCAGGCAAAGAGCATCTAAAATTTAATGCAAATTTCCTTCCCTTTTTTCCTCTGTTGCATATTGCATTCTTGGCTTTCACAAAGGCTGCTCCTGCTAAGGTGCCGGGGGGAAAGCCTGGCTTGTAAACCCACAGCACAGTAAGGCAGCACTAAAATAGGCTTTGCTGCTGGAAACCAGCTCTGAGAATTCTTGTGGTATCCTTATGACAAGTGTTTATAACCTATTAGAGAAATGCTTGCTAGCAGCTCATTTTGATTATTTCAAGTAATCAGTGTGTGTGTTACTTCGTATAAATATGCCCATTACGTTTCCACAGGAGAAGAATTCAAAGTACTACAACTATACTCTTTCAGTAAATGGCAAAGCACGAAGGCATGGTGAGAACTACAGTGTGGATTACCTGACAGATGTACTGGTAAGAAACTTTGCAACTTCTGTGTTACAGAAGCTGCTTATGACCAGATAATGCCTCATGCTGGGGGCTTAGGGAAGGGTGGGATGCTCATTTGTTAGGCTTTATTAGCTCATAAATACATGAGATGCACGTAGGCAATGACTTAAACTACTTCATTGAAGGCTGTGTCTCCTTCTAATACATTCTGTTACAGATAAACTGGGCCAAGCTTTGTGTGAAGTTTAAGCATGTAAAAATAAAGTTACAGCATGTTTTGTTTGTTCGCACGATGTGTTAGTATCTAATTGCATCAAACTGATAAACTGGAGATCTCAAAGGCTAATTGATCCTCCATGGTGTGAGAGGGCAATATATGGACCATGCAAAATCTGTAGCTGACCAGGGGAGTGTTTATCCTCTTTACCCTCTTAAGGTAAAGAGAGGTAACAAAGACATCAGATGCTTAAAGGAAAGTTCAAGTTGCTTTAGCTCTCTTGGGGCCCTGTTTAGTGAGTACTATTAGCTTGGAGATTTGGGGAACAGAAGTAGGGAGCAGGAGTGTTCCCCCCACCTGCCAAGCTGCAGCTTTAGTTTGACACCCTGTTACAGTGTAGGAGTTGGTAGTGCTGGGAGCTGGCATGCAGCGCTCGGGGAAAAGTCCTTTCTGAGAAGTCTCCTCATGTTTGTAGTCTTCCATTGAGACCCTAATGAGTTTCATTGCAGTGGGCTCTTGAACAGAGACAGCTGCTTACTGGGAACAGAACTGATGGATGTTTCTCAGGGTACTGAACAGCTGTCTGATTAAATTTAGATTTACACTGTCTAAAGCTAGATTGGAATTGATAAGCCAGAAGTGAGACTATCCCATTACTGGCATTGCACTGGGCTTTTTTGATCCTTCAGCAGCTCATAAGCATTTTGACTAAGAGGTCATTGCTGCATAAACCTCTTACTTGTGGTGTGTTAACACAAGACAGAGCAGTGAATTATGATTTTCAGTGTATTCCATTCTACTTTCTGCCTGTAGCTATCAAATATGCATTCAGCATTTCAGAGCTCATGTTTGAGTTTAATTCCTTCAATGTGTTGTTCAGTTGCTTATGCAAAGTTTCTGGGTTGCTTGATACGATGCACAAGCTTTCTTGTCCTGACACATCTTGGTACTTAAGTCTGGTACTAGGAATCTGAGCACCTGGATCTGTTTCCTGCAATCCTAACATGTTGCAGTTCAAGGTTCTATCAACATCTAAGTTGACCATCTCTAGGAGTGGACCTTTATCATTGGTTTCTGAACCAGATCTTCAAACTTTACACAGGTCTTATCCTCCATGAACTCTGTTATTTAACTTGCTTGGATGTTTGAGTTAGGAGGAAGAAAGAAGGGGGAATTTTTAATGTATAGTTTCTTCTGCAGACAGAAAAGAATATCCACAATGGGGTGTACTAATTGGGCAGGAAGGGAAAACGTTGCAAGATTTGAACGGTGAAGAGTTCACCTGCAAGTAATACCTTTGAAGCTGTAATTTCAAAGGCTGACCAAGGGAAGGCCAATATGAGACTTTCAATCTGTGGATTATGAGTGGAACTCACTTGCTAATTGAAAGTGTAATGGCTGAAACGAAAATGAAGGTGCAGTGAGGCGATGCAAGTGAGTGGAGTTTGGTACCGTCCTTACCTAGAGCTTCTGGCTTCACCAGCAGAAATGTGGCACCCCTTATAGATAAGGAGATTGCTGCAGAAAGAGCATATGCTATAGGCAATGGGGCTGGAGGGTTTTTATTTTTCTGAACAGAAATTAAACTGCTAAATTGGGATCTGTCAGGCAGGGGATGGCATCTGAGAGACTCAGTGTGTGAAAGAAAGCTCCAGTTGTACTTGAAAGCCAAGTTTAGGTGGGTTTTGTTAATACTCAGAATAGCACAAACTTTTGAGTTTAAAGTAGAAAGCTGTTCAGAGATGTGGGACAAAAAAATCTGCTAACATGAACACTTGGGATTTTTTTTTTTTATCACAAGCTGCTGTTCTGGATATTTGGAGATGAGGAAGCAATAAGTTGCTGAAATAGTTTAAATGTTCTCAGTACTACCAAATTCTAAATAAGTTATGAATGTCTAGTACAGATTTTTTTAAATGCTTGCTATTTGCTTTTGGATGTATGACTTTTTGTTCTCCAACAAAACTGTTCACAGGCCAACATGTCATTGGACTTCTTGGAGTATAAATCGAATTTCGAGCCTTTCTTTATGATGATCTCAACCCCAGCCCCACACTCCCCTTGGACAGCTGCTCCACAGTATACAAAGAGCTTTCAGAATGTCAGTGCACCAAGAAACAGCAACTTTAATATTCATGGCAAGGTAAGATAGAATCTGCATAGGTTATTCTACTTGTGAGAGCAGAGACTTGCATGTTAAGCCTATTCGGGCTAATACTGTGACTGTTGGTTTGTTATGTTAATCAGCCAGTCAGGGTAAGATATGTTTGTTGTGACTGAGATATTTGCCTACCAATATCTTGTAAATAAAAAAAATGTAGTGGCAAAAATAAGGCAGTGCAATGGAGTTATGATTAATAAATAGAAGAATTAATTCCTTGTCCAATTTCCAGGCTTTTTGGATGGTCTTAGAATGTTTTGTCATTGCTCCTGGTATGGTCAGGAGCACATGTAGGTAGCATGCTACACAAAGGCTCAGGTGTGAGCCTTGTATTCCTGTATACATCTACTGTGTGGATGGGTGGTCTGTTACTTGAGCTCATGGCAGAGCTGCCCCTGAGTGACAAGCATATTGGACTTCATGAAATCATGAGCCACAGGTTCCATGGTCACTAAGGACTTTGCGAACTTCCCTTAAATTTATTGAAATAACCTGTAACCAGAATTGCTGAGCCTAATGTTACAAATTCACAGACATCCTTGTGACGGGGCAGTACTTTCCACTGCCAGTAAAGTTGCCCAAATAAGATTTAGCTCAGACTAATCCACTGTGACTTACTGTGCCAATAACTGAAAGCGCAAACAGTTAATCTGGTGAGATATTTAACTTGCAGAACTTTTGTGGGTTTGATTCAGTTTGTTTAAAACACAGAACTTGGTGTTCAATTGATTTACTCCTAACGTTAAGACTAAGACATAACATTGCCTGACTGCCTATCTGGTGCCTAGTGATAGCTCTTGTAAGGTCACTCTGACTAAGTAGTACAGGGTGAAACTTGTTTGTAGCTGAGGATTGTAGATTGCAAAATGACCATGTGCTTATCAGTGTGATATGAGAATAGGAGAGAGAGGAAAGGGCTGCAGGCACTAGCAAATACTTTAGCCCAACCTGTTAAGTTTCGAAATAGGGAGTGGGGGACAGACTTCTTTCCTCCATAAAAGGATCCCTAACTTTGTCTTAGACTCTATTACTGTAAAGTCAAACACTTTTAAAATAGTGAGCCAGGAATAACTTGACTAGCTGCAAAGTCAGCAGTGTGAAGCTCCCTAATGCGAAGCAAAGTATCTGTATATGCCTATGTAATACAAAGCAAGATGACAGACTTACTTAATATTTGGCAGCTAGTGTCTGTGGATATAGCAGTTTTACTGGGTTTCCCAACAGGAACAGACTAGCCACTGTCCTTCTTCCCAGACACAATAGCTACAATCATTAACAGTGTGTTTCTGGAACTGGTAGTGTTGTGGTCTTGAAGCCTAACTCTTCTTTGAGCTTCACTGTTCTCTAGGGCAGGCACAATACCTGCAATAGCAAAAGTATGTAAGCTCAGACCCTCAAGTCATTGATGTCGTAATGCTGGTTTGAGAGTCTTGCATTGTACAGTGTTGATTCCTGAGTGAACGTTGCCTAGCTCCCTTACACAGTATGTGAGCAAGGGGTACTAAAAGGAGCCATCTAGGAGGAGTCTGCATGAAAAACAGGAGTTAAGCTGTTGTCAGTCTGTCCAGTTATGCACACTTTAACTTCTGCTTAGGACCCTCAGCTGTGAACTACATCAAGGAGTGGGTTGCTGTCTGGTTTCCCAGGCAGGACTATTGGTAGCCCAGATGAGTGGTTTATTGAACCTGTTGTGAGAGAGAAGCTGATTAAGGTGGGTGTTAGGGATTTCTCTCACATGCACTGTTTTTCTGCAGAATTGGAGCGCAGCTGCGTTCAGATTTTGCCAGCAAGATATAGCATGCTGGCACAAGATCTCCTGAAATTTCTTTGGGAACAGGGTGTAGGGAGGCAGCAGCTTTGTGTGTAACCAGTGAAAGGGACTTAGCAGGGACTGACAGGGAAGTGGACTGGCTGCAGACTCTGAGCCAGTGTGTTCTGAAATCCACAGAGGTGTTTAGGTGCTGTTTGAAACTTCAGAGAAAGGTAGGAAGAACAAAATACTCCAGGAAAGGGGAGGATTCTACTGTCCTACATGACTTATGTGCCTGAGTTATCTAGCATGATAGGAGGGCCCCTCCTAAGTGCATGTCTTGTGAAAGGTGGCTGGTGCACAGGTGATATTGCCAGCTCCTTTGTTTTCTGGTGGGCTTCTGTAGAGTTGGGGATGGGGTTTGTGATGTCTTTCCTTTTTCCTCTCTCAAACTAGTGCTCTTGATTATGCTGTGTTTTCTTGCTGAGATAGGCTTAGTGTAGAGACTTAGTGTCTCTGCAGAGAATCTTTACAACTACTGTGGGATCTGAATCCAAGCAATTTAAAATGAACTTGACACAGTATGAAGTCTCCATGCTAAAACTGTCCTTCAGTTGGCAAGAACAGAAAACAGGGAAGTGAAGAAACTGCAGGTGACATGAGTCACTTCATTGTGCGTCCCTAAAGGCTGAGCCTGTTCAGAGTCATTTGCTTGTGACAAGAGGGAAACTGCATAAGGAGAGGCTCTGTGGGGAGGAGTGGCCAAGTAAATACAGGCTCAGGCTGAGGGTGGTGAGTGGGTCATCTCTGACCTAGTAAATGAAAAAAATTAGTCTTATAATGCTGCTTAATCATTCATTTGGACATTTTCATCAGACCTGTCTTGGGCTATGAGACTTTTATCTCTGGGTGACCCTTCCCGAGCTCCTTTCCCAAATATCTCCCTGAAGTGCTTTGAAAAGATCCACAGCTTTCTTTTCACTAAGGGCTGAGCATAGTAGAGCTGTAATATATTCTTCTCTTGCAACTTAGATTTTTAGATGAACTAAGAGAGAAAATCGGTGTCAGGTCAGTTTGATAGCATTGCATGGCTATTTAGCAGGCATCATGTGGATGTTTTCCACTAAGCAACATTTCTGCTGTAACTGGCCTAGGAAAGGTTTAAAAGTTGGTACTTCTCTCCTATGCTAATCTTTGCGTTTTTTCTTTTTATTTCTGTAGGACAAGCACTGGTTAATCCGACAAGCAAAGACTCCAATGACCAACTCTTCAATACAGTTTCTTGATGATGCTTATAGAAAGAGGTAAGAATTTTTTGTTGCTTGGGATTGCTGCTCAGAACTGTTACTGTCTTCTAAAAAAGAAAAGGTATTTTTTTAACAGGTTCTACTAAGCCTGACTGTGGATGTCAAATTGCATCTGTAGTGGTTTTCTGGCATCTGACTTGACCTTCTGCTTACTTTTTTGCAAAGAAACTTGTCATTGACTTTAGGAATATTTTGCTCCCAAATGCTGCCATCATTTATCACTAAAAAGACCGGTCATGTTCAGTGTCCCTAATGCTTCTCTTTCAGCAGACAGCAGGTTTTCATGCCCTTACCTTCTATTTCACTTGGACTCCAGAGTCTTACATAACATACATCAGATGTGATTGATTTATCTGCCAGCTAATCTGATTCATTCACCTTGGCTCTGTCTGTGGTCTTTTTATGTGAGAACACCTGACTGTCCAGGGCAGGCAGGAGCTTGGCTCCTTTTTATAAAACGGGATGTGGGGAATAGTGTGAAGATACAGCTTGTTCCCTTTTTTAAGAGAAAGAAAGGGTATTTCTTTACATGGAAACTGTAGGTTTATTTTCTTTAAAAGCTCTGAAACAGACATTAGCTTAATTTAAAGCGATAAATTCAATTTTGAGCTGTTATCAGGCATTTGCTTTCTACTTTGGAGATGGAAAACCAAGATTTTCAGGCTCTTGCTTTATGAAACATGAAGGTAAAATTATGCAGCAAAATCCTAAAGTAATTCTTGAGACAACAAGATCCGAGGATGAGTAACTCTAATTCAGCATAATGCTGGTCTGTGGAGGCTCATTACTGACTTACAGAAGCAGTCACTTGTCTCAACAGCAAACCCCATGACAAAGGAAAGAATAGCTTGTAGCTATTCAAGGCTTTAGATACAATGGAATAATGGACCCTGATATTCTGTGAGCAATACAAAATATCTGATTTAGTTTTCAAGCAGAAAAGATTCTGTATAGAAAAATTCACAGCAGTCTTGATTTTTAATGTTAAAAACTACATATAAAGAAATAACAACAAGTGACCTTGCAGGAGATAGCAGACTCTTTATCACCACGTTGCTTCAAAGTTGGTATTGACTGTCTCCAGATAAGAAGTAATCAGTATTTTGGTGTCATTCTCAGACACTACAAAATAAAATCAACAAGAACTGAAGACACACAGACTGTTTCTATCTTAACTTGCAGTCTCAAAAGTACAGTGTAGTAATCTATGAAATTTGTTTTCAGAATTTGCAAGCAAAATAATCCACTTGCAGTGCATACACTGCTGACTTGAAGCAGAATACAAATGCCCTGCCTTGCAGTCAGAATTATTCTGATTTTCTTTTTTTTTCATGCTCTAACATGAATTACTTTGTTTCTGTCTAGGTGGCAAACTCTGCTGTCTGTAGACGACCTGGTAGAGAAGCTAGTGAAGAAACTGGAGCTGAATGGAGAATTAGACAACACATACATCTTTTACACATCAGACAATGGCTTCCACACTGGTAAAAGTCTCACTGATTACTGAACATTTGTAGAAGATCCAGGAACTGTGTAACGCTTTACCCTCAGGACCACTCCAGAAAAGTGGGAACAGCAGCTGTGGAACACTGTAGACATGAGAAATACTGATCTGAGTTGCAGAAACAATTTGGAGCTGCAGTGTGGGGTGTTTGGGGATTTTATTGTTTGGTTGTGGATTTTATCATTAATCACTGCCACTGTGTCTTGGTATACATGAAATTAGGGCAGAAATGGAGGAAGGGTCCCTGTGTTCTTTAGGAAGAGTTGCCACAAAAGAATTAAATCAGTAAAAATTAAGTCTGAATTGTGCTGTACAACTAAAAATACAGTATCTAAGCTGTTATATTTTAAGATACTGCTTATACTTTTTGAAGTTGCCTATTCTTCTTGTCCACTTTTAGTGTAGTTCAGGTTAAGAACCTCTTCTGACTTTGTAAAAAAAAAAAAAAAAAAGGGCTGCTGGAAGTTATGTAACACAAACTCCTCAAAGGTAAAATCGGAAGCCATTTAACCTTTCCCATTTTCTATTGTAGGCCAGTTTTCTTTGCCAATAGACAAACGGCAGCTGTATGAGTTTGATATCAAAGTGCCATTGCTAGTTCGAGGACCAGGGATAAAACCAAATCAGACAAACAAGGTAAGAAAGAAAATATTGTTTGACAGTTATCAACTTTAGGTCGTAATTTATCCTCTTGCATATATATATGTATGTACCAGTGAAATTAAATGTATGGAGCAGCAAAGGTGCAATGACCTCCTTCTAAAAAGCTGTGTGCTCTTGCTTCAATCAGTAAATGTAATTGCAGGATACAAAAAGTAGTGAAAGGTGCGAAGTGTGAAGCTCACTTTACACAGACCCTGCCATAGCTTTTTAATGTTACAAGTTCCACTAGCCTATAAAGAAAAAATTAAGTACTCTTTAGGTGTACCTAAAATGACAAGTACTTGTAACAATGAGACTTCTGTATTTTATCTGTTGGGTTCTAGTCTTCGGAAGTAAGTTTTCCTCCTCTTGCAGATGCTTGTTGCAAATATTGATTTGGGTCCCACTATTCTGGACATCGCAGGGTATGACTTGAATAAGACCCAAATGGATGGGATGTCGCTGTTGCCGCTGCTGGTAAGTAGAGAGACGGGATAGTAACCAGCAGTTCTTGCAGGGGTTATTCTTCAAAGTGAATACTACTTCCTTCAGTAGACTCAAACAAAGAATGTCATTTTCATGTGGAGTGTTCATAGCTTAGTGAAAAAATAGGTATCTTGCTGAAATGCAGATGTGTTTTCATAAGCATCACAACTCTGTGGTCACTTTGTAAGAGAAAGCTGTGTCATCCTTTGGCTAGTCCTGCCATTTGTAAGAATTCCTGTTTTGAAGGCTCTGTTTTTTTTTCACCTTGTACTCTCCCTCCCTTTTTCCTTGGAATTTCTCAGCACAGATGCAGGAGGAGAGCAGACTGTTCTTACTAAAATCTTTGGTTTACCTCAGTTTTTGGTAGAACTAGTGTTTCCCCCTGAACTTTGAAACAATGTATGCAGTTTTATAAAGTAAACTTGACCTTTCCCATAGGTGAGCAGAAGCCTATTTAAATAAAGCTGCTTGCAGTTGATCTGTTTAGTTTTAATTAAATTCAGTCTATAAATTGAAGGCAGCTTACTTGGAAATGAAGGATCATCCAGATTTAAAACAGTGCTTTGCTTTTAAAACCTTCTATCCAAACCTTAAGCTGTTCTTTAGACAGAAGCAGGTAAAAGGCATCTAATTTAAACTCTGGTGGAATCACAACTGTGAAACTCATTGTTCTGTTGTGTGTGCCTCTGATGGTGCTGTATACTAACTTGAAACTTCCCTCTTCCTCTGTCTTTAAAATGAAGTTCCAAATAGAGCAGCTTAATCTTTTCTTATGCCAAGGGTATCTTTTTCCATTCATTGTGAGATAGCGCGATATAAACCAAGCAGCCTCACTACAGGGGTTCTTGTCTGTAATATAATTGTATCTGGCCATGTGGTTCCTATTTGATATTACTGCGGGATTCTATATTGCAGATAGTGCTTTAAACCCTCACAAGAAGGTGTACTAGTATTTTTGGAGTTGGATCCTTGTTTTCCTTCTAACCTAGAGCTAGTATTTGAAGGCTGACCCGAACTAGGGATCATGACTCAAACTGCCGTGTAAGCAGTGGGCATGGAGTATTCCTTCTCTGTCACAGTACAGTGGATACTATGACGTTTCTCTCTTGTCCTAGAGAGGAGACAGAAATGAGACATGGAGATCAGACTTCCTGGTGGAGTACCAGGGAGAAGGGTACAACGGCAGTGATCCTACCTGTCCTGGCCTAGGACCTGGAGTCACAGTAAGACAAGTTCTGTTAATGTTAGCAAATAACTACTAGGTTCAGCCTGTTTGCTATATGGGCTAACCTGGTTCTATCAGTAAGATCCCAGTGTCTTGGTGAGTAGGAGCTAGCTCTGTAGGTCCTGCCAGCATTTAGGAACTGGAGGGAGGCATGCGGCCTTGTGGAACCGATATGTCCGTGTGACCCTGCTGAACACAGCCACCCTTTCCTTTGGAATCTATAGGGCCTCGGGGCTGGAGAAATACACAGGAAAGTGTGGGCTTGGCAAAGTGGGTGGTAGCAACACCGTGATTTTTCTAAACTTCCAGAGACCTTGTTGTACAGTTGTTGTCTGTGATTGTTATTTATAAATTGTAGCTACTTCCTGAATCAAAGAGGGTTTGCTTTAAGTAAAGCATCCCATTGGTGTGGTGTTTAGTACTGTGTGTTGGGATGTTCTCCTCAGTGTATGCACATTACCCTCCCAGACAAAACGCACTTAATTGTAGTGAGGTTAATAACAAGTGTCTCAAATTTAGAAGAGCTGAGATTTTACTTAAAATCCCCAGGGGAGACTTGCATGTGTTAGACTAAGACTCTGGTGTTCATCAGCTAACTGCAGTTGGCTTGAGCTGGTGCAGGCTGTAGGAAGAAGATTGCTAGTTCATCTTTTTTTCCCCTGCTCTGAAGTTTTTGTTCACTGCTCACTTCACAGCACTGCTTCCCAGACTGTGTGTGTGAAGATTCCTATAACAATACGTACGCTTGTGTAAGGACACTGTCAACTTCCTGGGACCTGCAGTACTGTGAGTTTGATGACCGGGAGGTAAGTCTCTCTCTGTCTTGCAGACGACAACTGTTCACAGCTGCAAGCAACTGCACTCTTATCTGCTCTCAAGGCTTTCATAAAGTACTCTGAAAAGCTGACTAGCTTGCTTGCAGGATAAACAGTGAAGTATTTATCTACTGGTGAGAATGTTTGACCCAAACTGGTGAGGTTAGGGAAAAATAAAAAGAGGTGGGAAGGGGGTGAGGAAGGGACAAGAGTCTAAACTGTAACTGTTGCCTGTTGGTATGGCCTAACAGCCTCATGGGGGGCTGGGCTGGGTCCAGTTCTCTGTCCTGCCCCAATTCCATGCAGCAGAGTCTTCTGTATCACAAATGTTTTCTGTTACACTCTTACCTTTTCTGCTGTTAGGGTCAGCTGCAACTTTTTTCCTTTGGAAGAACTGAAATCCCAGGCTCATCTTTTCTCTTCCAACACTCACTTGTCTGGTGAAATAAGTTTTAAAGTTGCAACTATGAGAAAGGTCTCAGACCTTATCTTAACTTGTTTGCGTGTAAGGGACATAATCTCCCCACTTCCACATCTCACTAGTGGGTTTACAGGGCTGATCTTTACTTGTGCCCCTTTGCACACAGTTGCTCCAGAGAACACACTGAGTTTGAGGCAACAGGGTTATAAATCTAATGAACTGCAGCTAAAGGCATAAACAGTAGGTATCCCCAGTTACTGTGCCACAACACAGAACACTTTCATGACCAGCTTAAACCAGGGGAGCAAATACCACATGCTGGTTTTGGTGCTAAGATAGCAAGAAAGACTGTGTGGGAGACTTAAGATGCTGATTAGCAGACCCTGCCGTTCATTTTTCCACTTTCTGACAATTTATGGTAAAGTCAAATGAGTGTTGCAACTTTACTCATAAAAGTAGACTCCAAAGTTGATCTGATAATACACTACATGTCACCTTTTTTTTTTTCCCCAGTAATGGCTGGAGTGTTTTTTGGTTATGGAGCTCACCTGGGTCAGCTAAATTAAGACTAACAGTATTGGGAAGATGCAGCAATGTGGCTTTTAAAACCTTGCAGTGAGCCTTAGAAGAAAGCTTGCAGACAAAGGCTGGCTGGATTCATTTTTATCTATGTTAGACAGAACCCAGCCACTTTAAGTCAACATCATCTGCAGTCAGGCCTCTTACTCTAGCCACAGACAAAACCTCAGCTGAATTCTTGAGATATGTTTGAGTAATATTTGTCCCACAAAATGGTTTAGAGATTTAGTGTACCAAAAAAAAACCAAATCTGCCCTAAAATCCTCCAAACCTTTTCAAAGCACACAAAAAAACCCTTTCACAGCATGTGTATATAAAAAAGCTTGTATGAGGGTTATAGCATACTGATATTCAGTCTGTTTTCTATGCGCAGTCAAGGTACCTGTTACAGTTTGACAGCTGGAAGTACCTGATGAGCTGAGACTTAATATAATGGTGGTGCGATGGTCAGGAAACAGTGTATTTGAGATCCAATAATGAAAAGGCAGCCAGCTTAGCTATGGCCTCTTGCTGTGGTGTTACAGTCATAAGGCAGATTCCATTTATGCATTGGAAAAAAATCTGATGTGCAGTGGAGGAGTATTTCAGGCGAAAGTAAAAACTTCTCCAGTAATAGTCCTATCACACTAAACTTTACCTACACACTCTCCTGTCTTTGACCACTTAAGTGCATGGCTAAATACAGCTCATGTGTGGGAATGCTGCAGCATCATTAGGAAAAACATTTGAGACAATATGCTGTCCTTAAATGTTCTTCCCAAATAATATGATTAAAAGTTAATTAGCATTTAGGACTCAATACAGTGCAGGAACTTTCTTCTCCAGGTGTTTGTGGAAGTGTATAACTTGACTGCAGATCCACACCAGATCAACAACATTGCTAAAACAATTGATCAAGAAATCCTAGAAAAGATGAACTATCGATTAATGATGCTGCAGTCCTGTTCGGGAGCAACGTGCCGTACACCGGGTATCTTTGATCCTGGGTAAGTACTAATTGAGTTTATTTATATAATGCTTTTAAATATAACTATATGTTTTTAAATTAGGCTTTTATAGAGGGTATTTATGTTGGATTACATACTGTTGTTTGATAGAGATGCTTTCTTGCTGTTTCTGGGGTTTTTTTTAATGCTCAATCTGTATTTTAATTTAATCTACCAAATATAACTTGATAGTATTAATACTACTTCTTTAGTCTTGTCAGCCACTCCTGACTTAGAATAGCTGAAGCTTACGGCTGTGCTGAGTAGTCAGAGGCAAGTGACCTCAGGTTTGCCTGCAAACAAGGAAGAGCTCTGCAGGTTGCCCTAGGCAGCTGTTTTCCAAATACTTGATATGGTTGCTCCTGGAAATGCTCTTAACAATGAATGTTTCCTGTAAGACCTAAGCTGTATGAATTAGTCAGCTGTTGTAAGTTAACAGCACTTCTTACCTCAGAAATTGGTTGGTAATCATTTTCAGCGAAGCTTTTTAAGCACTGTTTGAAATGCCCTTACAGTTGTCCTACATAAGTTTGTAATTTGAAGCAGCAAAGCTTTCTGTTAGGATGTACCTCCTGAATACTGAATGTTATACATGCCAATATGCCGTTGGCATGTTGTAGCTAGTATTTATTTCTTTGGAGACTATCAACTCCTAAGTTGTGTGTCATTATAACTCATCTGCTATAATATGTAGAGAGGCTGCTCCTGCTGCATACCACTGAGAAAGCAACTGTTCACGTGGCCAAAGCTCTTCTGGAAGTACCTGTTTGCAGAAGAATTGGTCACTGTGTGCTCCCAGTCACTCACACATACTCTGTTCCTTCCTATAGCTACAGGTTTGACCCACGGCTCATGTTCAGCAATCATGGTGTTCGGGCTCGGAGGTTCTCTGCACGGTCTTTGTAAGGCACTTCAGAGCCTCTTGCAATTGGCTCTCACTGGCCAGTTTCTCCAGTGACTGCAGCAGGTTTGTCTCCGTACCTCTCGCTGATCACAGCTGGAAGACTTTTCATGGGCTTATTCAAACGCTGTTTGGAAGAAAAACCCTTGTCTTTAGCTGGTTGCCTTGTGCAATATGTATATCTTACAGCTGAACTCTAACTCTGAATCGTTAGACACAGCTAATCTGTCTTGCTCAGATAATTGATTAGCACCTTTGTCTTTCAAGTACCTTTTCATATCACAGGCACAGGGGTGAACCTTTGCCTATGGATCTGAACAGTTTATTTTGTTCTAAAGATCAATAAATGTGTACCTGAGTTGGGTTGGATAGACAGGTGCTATTGCACAGTAATGCTCACCCATATTCAGTGTTAAAGACTTTCTCAAAGGCTATGTTTAATTATAGATTTCCCATATCAAGCTCAAAGCTGGTGATGACAATAGCAAAAGAGTGTAGGAAGGCATTAGGCAGAGCTGTAGGATCAGACTAGTGAGTGTCTAAATATTCTCTTTCAATGAGACCACTTCAAGTGAGACCCATGAATTTTGTAGGACAGCTCTGGTAGCTTGCAAACAAGAATGTAACTTCTAAGATCCTTCTAGTGGGAAATGCTGGAATGGGTTACTGTGTACTACTGAAAAGTATCTTAGGGTTTAATATAGGCTTCCTAGTGAGTGAAAGAAGAGTGTTAAGACTAACAAATATTCAAATAAGTGTGCCTGTGTTTTGAGCCAACCCTTAAGTCTTCTATACATGAACAAAAGTAATGCTAAAGGAAAATCTACAACAGGAAAAAAAAACAAAAACCAAAAAAACCAAACCTGGGCACCACAGTAAAGCTGATCTGTCTCTAACCTCTGAATGTCTTTGTCTAACATCTTGTGTTGATTAGATTCTTGAAGGTAAATTATTCTGAAAGCAAACTAGCTATAATTAAATCGTTGCTCACTAGAAGTTAGGCTGAGAGAGCTACTTTAGGCAGTTTAAGTGCTTCCTAGAGTGTTACTTTTTGGTTGAGATGTAACTACTCAAGACCCGAGTAAGTGGCCTTGACACCAAAGGACTGCCTGCCTAGATGCCTGACTGCAGCGTGGTATCACTCGGCTTCCCTTTGGGAGGGTGATGTTGTCTCGTCATCCTTATGATTGGGCTTATCTGAACTGCAGCCATCACTTGTACCCAAACTGGAGTATCCTTCTGAATCCTGAAAAAGCACCCAAACTTGTGTCAGCATGTAACTTCTGTATAGCTATGTTGGGGAAACACCAAATTGGCTATCTTTTCCAAGACAAGTTCATGCTGCTTGTGGGCAGATCAACTGTGTTATCAAGCAAGATGATTGCTCTATTCTCAAGCAAACTGGGGCACAACCTCTTTTAGTTAGTTATTTTGGATCTTTTACCCAAATAGAGAGCATAATGATTTCAACTACTGTCACATAAAACCTTTTACTAAGTAATCATGAAGTAGGCAACAAAATATGACTCAAAACTGTGAAGCTGCATAGCCCAGTGCAGAGACCCACAAACTGGATACAAATAATGCCATAACAAGGGAAGTTGAACTTCCTTGGCTTTTAATGCTGAAGCACAGAAGTTGTCCTTCATGTAGCTTAGAGCTGCAAACTTCTGTGGTGGTCTACAGGTTAGGTTTTATACAGCTTTTTGTCTCAAATCTGACTAACTGTTTCAAATCTCTAGAGTGACCAAATATTTGAGAAAAAAAATCATCACTTGAAAGGTAACTTTTCAGCTGCAGCATCTGTATAAATGCAGAGGGGGTTGGATGTTCAGACTACTGACATGCTTTCAAATACTCAGGACTTTTTTTTTTTTCCTCCACAACTGTAGCTTTATCCTGTTTTTGTTTCTTGAGCCTTAGTATTGCCTGTCAGTATCCTTCAGACTCTGTTTTGTCTTTACAAACAAAACCAAAGTTGTTTTCATGCTTCAAGTGTTTTCTTGCACACCGAGCTAAACCTGGAGTTCATTTACATGGTGTTTTCCTCAGATAATTCTAGCAACTTAGATACGTTCTTTGTTTAAACTTAAATTCGGTAGCTGTGTGAAGGCTAAGGAGAAATACATTGATTGCTGCACATTAAACCCTGAACAGTTCTATCCAACCTAGGTCATTGTCAAGTTTCTACTTGAGTTGAGTTTCAGTGCAAGTAATGTGTATGTTGCTTCTTAATAGAAAAAATCCCAAACTTTGTTATGGGTACAGATGTGTGACTGTCTTTTCTTCAAGTGATCTTAAGCCATAACAAGAGAATTTTCTTTTGGATGATTTAATTTTTGCCTAATACCTAACATGAAAGTTGACAGAATTGATACAGACGATTTAGTATGTGTGATCAGATGTTTTACCCAAATTGGCACTTGCTTTCTGCACACACCTGTAAAGCGCTTTGTAACTACACTCAATAACTTACACGCTCCCTGTCAGAGAACCACAGTATATCTGAAATCTGTCATAAGTAATACGCACTGCATTAAACTGAAATTCAGAATGAAATCAATCAGTCCTTACTTACCCACAGTAGTGGTTCAGGCAAGCACCTGCTTCACTTCTGCTTTTGATAAAGACTCAAGACCTGTTCAGCAGAAGCACATAGTTGAAGGAAGAATGGAACCCAATGGTTGCCTGCCCCTGCTGCTAGAGCTCCTCTGCTGTTTCCATGAAGAATTACTTCCGAGTATTTTTGCAGCCTTGAATGAACAGTGTTAATTCTTATCTTTGGTGATTAAAAAAACACTGAAGGAACCTTGATTCCCAAGTAAGTGATTTTAAAACCAAATGGTCTTCCTGGAAATACCATTTCAGATGCTATTTGAGCATGGCTGTATCTGTACCTTGTTACTGAAGGCATTTGTGTTACATGAAAGGGGCTTACTGGTACAGAGTTGGGTTTAGGTAAAATGTGATTATTTTTTAAAACTCAGTAGTATCAAAGCAGAGCTCTGAACTTTAATGGTTGCATCAGGTAAAGTAGATATTATACAGGGAGAAGTACAGTTGAGAATTTTATTACATTATCCTAAACCAAAAACCATTTGATAACACTTCAGCATAAGTGAGTACAGCCAGTACATGCTTACCTAGCATCAGCCCAGTGAATTGGGCTGCTTCATTTTGCAGAATAAAGCTGTAACAGGGACAGACATGCAAAACACCCCCAAAACACCTTTTCAATCACATTAAATTTAAGACTGATTCTACAACCTAAAGACAGTATTTTATCATAATGAAACAGTTATTGTTTATTGTGATTAAATTTAATTTGTATCACTCTCTCTGTATGTGAGCATACTTTGCTGTAGCATGTTGTGAGCATACTTAACTTCTGCTGTTTTGAACGTTTGTATAGAAAGTGCCCTTCCAGAGGACCCTGTTCACTGCTGCACTTTTGGGGAAAGAAAAAATAAACTGCCTATCAAACTTCCTATCTTTGTTAGTGAACTTGAGCTAAACCTTTCCACAGGATCCAGCTGTGTTGCACTTCTGAAGACTGAATTCCTTATTATAAACCTGTTCTCTGCTTAGTGCCCTACTGAACAGTGGCCACTAGTGAACTTTTATCTGGTAACAGGGACCCTCATGTAGAGAGTTTAGCAAGACAACATGTGACTGCTTTGCACCAGGAAGAAATGCTGAGAATGAGAGAACACATTGAAACACAAGCTGTACTTGCTCATATTTCCTTGGAAACTGATGTGGTTGGATAGATGGAAAAGTTTAACAAAAGGGACAATGGAGAAACTGCTGTTCATAATTAAAACCAAGTATGTTCAGCCTCTGGGAAAGAGGAAGAAGAAAATCCAACATAAGGCTTTTTCTGAAATGGGAACTGTGAGCAACAGTGAGGTATGTGCTACTTACTCACCTCAGCCCCTGGTACAGAGTTTTAATTCCTTGATGATGGTGTGCAACTGTTTAGAAATATAACTTTTCTGAGCTATAGAGCAAGTACCTTTGATTTGGTACCTTTAACCTATGTAAGTCTGAGGCTTTCTCAAACTTCTAAAACAAGTATTTTTGCATTTCTGGTTAACCACATACTATCAGTTTCATTTCTCCTCCAGTGACATAGCAGTTGTCCATCGAGTAGAGAAAAACATGTAACAGAAGCTTGAAACAACACTGCTACCTTTCTTTTGATGCTCCAGCTTCCGAAAACCGAAGTTTACTGTAGGTCTGCAAGAAAAGGCAGCTCTGTATTGCCTAGATACACCTTCCCATCATGCTGAAACACATCACTGACAGCCCAAGTGATGCTGCCATCAGGGTCATGGAAGCTTGCCACAATGTCTCCTTTGTCATTAATGTCAAGAACAAGCTGTATTTGTGAAGGAAAATGCTGTAGAATGATAAACGAGTCACCTGTTTTAGAAAGTGTTAACACTTCATTCAAGGGGAGGAGGGTGGAGATTCCATGACTATAAAGGAAAGGCAATGCTAATATATTACATTCCAGATGTTGCTCTAGTCAGATTCAAGTGTCACTTAATCTTTGGATAATATCCACTGGACTGTGTCTAAAGCTGGCAGTCTGATCTTAACAGTACAGTGAGTGCCTGCTTGCTCAAAAAAGGTGTGGAAATTGTTTGAACTTACTCCAGCTGCCAAAAGCCACCTATTTTCTAAAAGCAGAAATAAGGAGGACTTGATGGAAAACAACTGAATCACCCACTTCAGTGTTTTTCCTGTGCAAGTTCTAGAGAAAAGGTGGCATAGAAAAAGTAGCATGGTTAATCATAACCAGCTCCACAACTCCTGCTTGGCAATCTGTAAAGGGTTTACCTGCCTTGGCAATAGCACATTGCTATAAACAATGAGCTGAGGGCTTGAAACTATGGACTCCGTCAGTACTGATTCTTCTACTTACAAATGGGACCTTGGTGTTACCACAGCAGCAAAACTGCTGTGGTTTAATATGTAAAAGAGAAATAATCCTCAGTCGAAGTTGGTATGTGCTGTATGATGGCTGGTAAATATAAAGCAATCTTTAGTGTTTCCTAGTGAAGAATAAGTTCTTTCATACTTAAAAAATTAATACTTTGCGACATTGATGGCTACTACTACACAGTGTCAAATTTACCTTTACAATGAATCTCTTCAGGAATGGATACGGTCCTAAAGCATCCAGAAAAGGAGAAAAGAAACTGGGAAAGCAAACAGTAGATATTCCAATTCTGTATAAGCCTGTGTTTGATAATCTGATGTTGTCTGGATACCCAGGGAGGTTGTCCACAAATGCTTCTTTTTTTCCTGCATTAGCTCCACTCACCCAATAGGTGCAAAAAGGGAATTCTGTATCTGAGGTACAGTGGTTGCTGCAAAATACAGCAAGTTTAAGAGCACGGAAATTACATCAGTTTGATTCATAGAAGAAATTTTTTCAAAACACAGAAAAGGACTCTGCAGGAAGTAGTAAATGCAAGAGGGACTAAACCTGAGTAATGATGATTGGTCAAATCCCTCCTCTTTCTACTAGTAACATAAACAGTACTCACTGGTTCTAGTCAAAACACCTATTCATAGAAAATGTGCCTGTTAAATGAAAACTGGTAGTAAATTTGGCTTTAGAACTTCCACGAAATAGAACACTTAAAACACTGAGTCCCCTTAAAATGGGAAAAATGAGGTGTTATGCTAATCATCATTATCATGCAGTGACACTTGTCCTTTGAGGTCTGTTGTAACTGTAATAATGTAACTAATGTAATTATCACTGGGATAATTCTAATTGAGTCTGAGGGAATTAGAGCCCCAATGTACCAGTAAAGCAGTATCCAAAACATCTGGCAGTGGGAAGAGCAACTGCTAATCTTTACATAGAATTAACCAAAATATGCAAGTCTTGCAGCAGAAAAATAGTAATTTAGACTGTTTCCAATAGCAATGCTGTGAACTGCACATCTTCAGTTTACGTTTTTAGAAAAGGAAAAACAGAAAAGAATATGAACATCCTGTCTACAAATTTATTAAAAAACATGTAATATAAACTAATATGTAAAGTTTTATATCTAGAAGATTGGTATTATCGTACTGTATGATTCTACATATGCTGGTTTCTGCTATTGATATGTAACCTTCATCAGGAGACAGTGCAATCCCATTTGCCATGTACAAGCCACTGAGCACTGTTCTTCCTGTTCTTTTTGCTGGGTCATAGACCAAGAAGTGATCAAGATGGTTTGTTTTGATTACCTGAATTAATACATCTAATTAATAAAAACTAGGCTGCCAAAATACCCGCTTTCCATTACAACAGAAAATATTCAAAAGTTGTATTAACATAAATTAGCTAAAAGCAGACTTTAGACAATGGCAAATGTCATCTTTATAAGAAAAACCAGCTCACACCACTAAAGGAGCACAAGATTTTGTTCATGTCATTTCCCAGGCTGATTGCAGCATCCTGGCAAAACCAGAGGAACGTGCAGGTTATAAAGCCCAAACTTCAAAATACATTATCCTGCAGTTCCTGCTTTAGCAAAATACTGAGGGCTGTCAGGCTTCTGCAAGCAATTATAGCTTCTTCAAATCAAACCAGAAAGCATTGATGAGTATTCTGCTAAGCAAGTAAACAGCCAATATTGTGCTTCTGATATGAGATAATTTGTCTAAATTTCTTCTGCTAAAAATCTGCAGGGCAGATTTCAATTGTACACACATAAGCCCTGTGAAGAGGAAACCGCCTGTATGTTTGTCGTTTGCACTGGCAACCCCTTGTCAAGTATGAAATACTAAATGGCAAAATGATGAACTACCAAACAGCGACTCTGACAGTTTTAAGAAACAGCAAGTGACACATAAGAGATTTCAGGTTTTTTTTTTTCCTTTAATAAACTTGGATCTCAATTCCCACCCCTTAAATGAAATGTATTTCCCTTGATTTGATTTTTCTCCTTGCTTAATTTTATCCAGTTTTGCTAGTAAAGACGAGACTCAGTGTAAACTTCCTATCTCTGACCTTGCTGAATTTCAGCTTTACAGACAGTTTGTTCTAGATAAAGTTTTGTGCAGAGGCTCTGACAACACAGAAAGATACCTTCAAGCACACCAACAATTTGCTACCTTCCATTTACAGCAGTGTAAGAGCATGCTTGCAGAGATTCCAAAGAGAAGCTAACATGCTGTAAAATTCCTGACTGCAGTGTATCACATGACAGTTTCTTTGGGTAGTCATACCGGAGGTTGATTGGTTGGTTTTTGGTTGGTTTGGGTTTTTTTTTTCCCCTGGAAAAGCAGCTTCAGAATAGCAGAGCCCATCCTCTGCCTCAGGGCTGCAGCATGCTGCTTGGCTAAAATACACAAGCACAACTGAAAAAAACTTGTCTCTTCTGTGGCCTAGTACTGCTGCCAGCACAAAAATTAACACTTAAGCTGCCTAAACAAATGGCCACAAAGATTGCCTTGTCTCAACTCACATCTGTGATGTCTTCCCCACTTGCTACTTGAATCTGTAAAATAAATCAATTTTTTCTTTGATATTTCTAATCCATTTAGGAATTTGAAAGGCAGTCCATCCACACCTAGTTAATTAACATGACCACCGACTAAAATAAGTACAAAACCACTAAGTGCTCAAAACTATTGAGATCCACACAAGCTTAAGATTTCGGATATTACAATTCCAAGTCCCATATCCTTAATTTGTCCCAGCTAAAGTCCAAGCTCCAATTACTTTCATTTGCAGGAAATATGTACAGGTTGCAGCTCAACATAAACAGATACCAAGCCTCTGACAAAAACAATTGCTTTTCTTCTATTTTTTTCAACAAACTTAAAAATATAAAGCCAATGGGCTTTCAATCAGTCCCAGTCCCCACATTCACTTGTACTGATCTCAACTGAATAAAGTGCCTTGATGTCCCCGTCTATATATAAACGTGAGGACCAGACCCAAGATCAGTCTACTTCCTCACAAAATGTAGCATCACCTTGTTCACTTGACAGCAGGAGGGATTTCTCTCCTGTCTTTGGATTAAGTTTGTACAGGTCTAAATAAGAATCCACCACAGTCAGGTTACCATCCTGATCCATTCGCACTCCATGGGGCCGGCCACATATTGGCTCATAGTCTGGAGTTCCTGAGATACAAATAGGAGGATACAACCAGGAGGTTGACAAAATGAAGATCACAAAATGCAAAGGCTAAAAAGCACTTAACTATCATCCTTGAATAAACCACATCTTTAAAAGCTTCCTTAAATGGTCTCTGAAAGTAGCTTGCAAAGGAAGTACCAGTATAATCTCAATCTAGTCATCTCTGTTCCTATTACTTAAGAAAAAATCTGCTCTGAACCTCCAAAGAAATTCATATCTCTTTTCCCAGACAATTTTAAACATGTTCGAAGAACTGGTAGGATTACTAGATCAGTAAAACAAAATGGATTAGCTGCTGCTTATTTTATAATCCAAAGAAAAAGATGGAAG